TAAACAGCTGGTCATAAGTCAAGGATTACATGTAGTTAATCACTGATAAGGTCTATGGATATATTGCAAACATTACCCAGAAGAGTTTATAAGCTAAATAATCTAAGAGCCAAACTGAAATCTGAAAGTTACACCTAAAGGTGGTAAAAGTGCACTTTTAGCAAACCGGTCATTTTTTCTGATTGCACCCTAGTTCATTTAATTGTCTTGTAGAAATCATAGCAAAATGAGCCATTACTTTGAACGAAGACAAGTAATTGATTATTCTTCCTGTTTGTTTACTTGTTTGTTTCTTATTTGTTTGCTTTTAAGGTACACATACCGGTAGAATTCTCTGTCACTTTTAGGTCAATGGCAGGAAACAATTCTTGGTGTGCATTTGTTCAGGAATTTTCAGCTGTTTTCACTAAAACAAATGGTCAAAACTTCATAGACTGTTGTGTATGAAGTACTAGTACTATGAAAGGTTTGAAGGATCATATTACTATATACAGGCAGCCTTCATGTATTGTCCACTTATGAAATGACTCTTTGAAGTTCCACAACTTTGTTGAACCAGATGTACTTACAATCAGTTAGTTTTGGCCATAACAGTATCACCACAATCATGATTGTGATTTGTGTGCTTGGCAACCAGCTCGCAATTACAATGACATAGCATCTGGGAGTGGGGTTTCCCACAATTCCTATTGGCCAACTTCCCTATCAGTATCAGAGGTTGGCGTGCGACCAAATTTATTCTAAAGATGGATTTTTCCTTTAATTTTACCAGACGCTTTCTGACTTTACAGTTTGAGACTTAGAATTTGTCTCCAAAGCCAAAGGGGCCTTACACAAAATTCCCCTGTGGGTAGAACCTTTTCTACCAGCAATGATAACCATGGAGAATCATTTCAAGGCATTGTGAAGAGTCTGGTGGTTTTTCTTGCCAGCTGCAGTGGAAATAATGTCTTTCTTAAATCCTGTTAGATGTCTGTAAAACCTGTTCATGTCAGTGACGCTGTCCATGTTCCTCTTAATCCAACAAAGAGGAATGGTGAGCAGCTCCTACTCACTTTTAGAACAAGTGAAGGACAAATCTCTACTGGTATGGAACTGATCGTAGTGAGGAGCTTGAGCTCTACATGTAATTGCTTCCATGGATCATTCATATGTGGAAGTGAGTCGGCCTAAACCCTTTGTGTAACTTGGTCTGCAAGTATGAAAATCAGGTCCTCACTATCCTCCCTTTCACCTCCAGTACAACTAGCTATATGTATGCTGACATATAATTTGTTTTAATTTCTGAAAACTCATGCAGAGAAGAAATCTGTCTCCAATGTTACTTAAGATAAACTCATTTTTTGGGTGAATCGTTGCTCATAATAGCTGATTGGAAGTGCTGATTAACAATAATTAATGGTAAATATATTCTCTTCAGGTAATTATAGACCAGGGGTGTCAAACTCGCGGTGTCACATGATGTATTGTGACTTTTTCCCCTTCATTAAACCGGGTGGGGGTGGGACCAGCACATCTGGCCTGCGGGCTGTGAGTTTGACACCCCTGCTATAGATCAATATCATCAACTCTGAATGGAAAGTACAGTCAATAATTATTGATGTCTTCTGCCCAGATGGTTTACTTATAATTGATTATATATTTTGGAGGATACCTTGTATTTTTTTCATATCCTAAGATTTCATATCTTAAGATACAGACTTGGTGAAAATAATGAATAGATGTACAGGATGTCCTCAACTTACACCCACAATTGAGCCCAAAAATTATATTGTTAAGTGAGACCTTTGTTAAGTGAGTTTTGCCCCATTTTATGACCTTTCTTGCCACAGTTGTTACGTGAATCACTGCAGTTGTTAGGTTAGCAACACGGTTTTCAAGTGAATCAGGCAAGGTGATCACACGACCCTGGGACACTGCAACCATCATACATATGAGTCAGTTGCTAAATGTCAGAATTTTGTTAATGTGATTGTGGGGGCCACAACGGTCATAAGTGTGAAAAACAGTCATGTCACTTTGTTTTAGTGGCATTGTAATTTCAAACGGTCACTAAGGGAATTGTTGTATGTTAAGGGCTACCTGTATTTAGTGAAATAATAATAGTGAAATGTTTACATGGTCTTTCTTTACAGCCAATAATTACATCCTCCAATTATTTTTCACCCCAAGTCCCAATTCTCATTGGGAATTTTTCCAGGAAAACTGAAAAAGTAGGCAAACCGTTCCTCTTAACAGAGTTGTGTATGAGACAGACATAACTTCCTGCATGAAAGACAGAGATTCAGAAAAGAAGTGTTGGGAAGGTATTTTTTGTATAATTTGTTGTTCATGGCGCTTTATAAAATACTGGCCATTTTTCAGTTTACAAGGACTGAAAAATGCTTTCTGTATCTGAACTGATGAGATTGTAGAAAGACAGAAGTGATTAAACAGCTTTTTCTGAATAACCTACAGTAATTAGCATGCTCAATTGCATTCAATTTCTTTGTGATGCCACCACCGAAGAAAATCCAATATAAGGAACATGATCTAAACATTTCCACTTTTGGCTTTAAGGGACATATTCTTGATCCACTACTGTAGGCTATAATCCTAAATCCTAAAATGGGAATCTAATTTTAAAAACAAATATTGCAAGGGCAATTTTTCCTTTCTGAAGTAGTTACTTGTCAGAAGATGGGGTACAATTTCTACTGGGATTGGGAGGGATAAAATATTTTATTTTTGTTCCCAGTCCATGGTTCTAATTCAAATTTGACCAGCCATTTATTTGGCTGAGGGGTGTATATACACACAAGAACCTGGACAAACATCACCCCTTCTCTTTCAAATGGCATTGTGGGAGAGAGTGATTAACACTGCCACAGTACAGCCACAACTTTTCAGGAAGTTTGCATAGTAAAGTAAAATTTGCTCCTCTAAACATCCTCACTAAAAAAAAAACCCCAACACACAGCAGCAGTATTAAATATCACTTACTCAAAAATGAGAGATTAAAGTTGATTACAATGACTGTAATGTATGTCACAACTATAGGAGGACGCCACAAATTTGGAGAATGTGGCAGGCTGCCATTTCCTACAAACTCTTGGAACAAGATAAAGTCCTTCATATTCTTAACAGATGTCAGGCATAAGTAAAACACTGCAAAAATGCTACTCATAGCAAATCCAGTTTTGGCTCTTGGTTTAGAGCATAATGACTTGGGAAACAGAAAGAGGTAATTTGCAGAAATAAATTGTACAACAGGCCACACACAACGATGGACCTCATAAATTGCTGCAAATATTTATGAGACACTAAAAGCTTGATTAAGAGCTAACAATGTACTTACTGTCTTTAAAATTCTGCAGCCCATTGTATCCAAGATGGTTAAAAAGATCAGCTGTAAGTGAAGCAATTGAATCCCCTAATCCAGACCCACCAAACCAAACACAATTTGTCCATTATTCTCTTTTTGCAATCCAAGATTTTATTTACGTCATTTCTTCTTACGCTGGGCATTAATCTTTATCTCAGTGGCTGTGCTCAATCTAATTCTAATACACATTTTCAAAATAGGAGACTGACCATATTGTGCTCCTTCTTGTGGCCCTTTAGCATGGTGTGAGGGTTTCTTACAGACTGAGAGCTGCAGTTGATCACGTAACAGAAGTTAAAAGAGCTCTGAGCAGAGATTCCTTTTATTGATTTTATATTTTGCATATACTTGTTCAGAGTTTTATAAATATATCATCTAGTACACGGACAAATATTTCCAGAAGCATACACATATACAATACATTTTAAGCAAAGATATAAAAATAAAAATGGAAGGAAATTGAATAAAGTTCTAAGGCATTTTATAAGAGTCACCAATAAATTATGACATATATTTTCCTGAATTAGCCACTAGGGATGGCTACCTCCTATCACTTCTTACTACCATTAGCCAAGCTGGTTTGAGGCTGATAATGTTCAACACATTTGGACCATCCTATATTGCTTACGCATAGTTTGGAGTCCGATCTGCATATTGATTATACGCCATCAAATCAGTGCGGATTCATAATGATTTTCTCCATGAAGATCAGCCCTTTCAGAGGTGCCTCCATCACCACTGGAGCTGAGTCCATCCATCTTGCTGCTAGTGATCCTCTTCTCTTCCCTTCCACCATTCCCAGCATCAGAGCCTTCTCTAAGAGAGCTAAGTCAAACATAATGTGTTTGAAGTAGGATAATTTGAGCCTGGTCATTTATGCTTGGAATGAGAAGTCAAGAGGTTGATTTGTTTGATGATTCATCTCTAATATCAAAAGCATCAATACTCTTTCTATCCTGCTTCTTCAAAGTCCAACTTCCATACAGTGTCACACGGAAAACCATTGGCTGCACACCTCTGATGTTGGGAGTACAGACACATCACAGCATGTGAATATTTTTTTTCAAGACATTTATGGTTGCTCTTGCTATACCAAGTGCTAGATTGTGGCATATTTCTTGATTGTTTGTCCCTTCACTATTGATATGCAGAACTCATAGCAAGATAAACTCAATTCAAATTCAGCAGCACTACATTATGTAACAGTATGCTTGCTCAGTTCAGATTGTCTCAAACTTATTTTTCAATTCATGTAGCAAGCCTACTTCATTTGTAAGCAAAAGAGTATGCACTCTTGTTGGTACAGAGTACAATAGGGAAACATTTATATACTAAAAGCATCACATCAGAAGTGCGCTATGATCTGATAAAGAGAGTCCATGGTAAATTACAATAGGCACCCATCCAAGGACCCAAAGGGGGAAAAAATCATTCAGAATTTCAAGTGAAGGCTTTCTACTTTGGTCTTTTAATTCATGACTGCCATTGACCTCATATCAACCGTAATGCTACTGTTCCCTTCAGATGATTTTTTTAAAAAAATTGCAATATGCTTGTTTCTGCAACTATAAACAGGAAATGCCCACTGATGGATAAATATTTAACTTTTTAAGAATGCCACCATTTCTTTTCCAGCTCAATTACTGAATGAAGCTTGAGCAACTTTAGAATTGGTCTTCTTGTTCAAAGCTCTGCAGATGAAGTTGCCAGCTTCCATAACTTTGTAAAGATCCACACCCTAAAATTGAGGAAGAAAGAGAAAGAAATATTTTTAATATGTTTATTCATATAAAACTATTCAAGATGTTCAGCAGGAAAGGGAAATAGAGTGTGCTTTGTGATGATCCTAAATTCTTCATCAAACATCCATATCCTGAAAACCTTCTGAGTCTGCTTATTTGACTTACCTTCTGTATACTTTAGTATCTGGCAGCATTCTAATACTTTATGTCTCCAAAGCTTTTTAACAACTACATCACATTACAATACTTCAAAGAATTTTATATGGGCTTCTGAAGTTGGTTCAGAACTTGCAGTCACATTATCTAAAATTGGGTATCTGAATTACCCAAACTTCAGAGTGATCATCTTTTAAAATTATTACTACTTTTGTGCCTTCGAGCTAGTGTTGACTCATGGCAACTGCACGGATTAGTCCCTGCAGGTTTTTTGACAAGATTTTGGAAGTAGTTTGCCTTTATCTTTTTCCTACAGCTGAAAGAGAGTGACTGGTCCAAAGTTACCTAGCTGGCCTTTTGTTCTAAGATGGGACTAGAACTCAGAGACTTCCAATTTCTAGCCTGATGCATTGACCACTACACCAAACTGGCTCTCCAGTCTGATAAGTAGGAGAAGAGAAATATAATCATATTATATTTATGCCCTGGAAACAATAACATTAACACTGTTTGGCCTCGGTATAATTCAAAAATTTGGCTCAGACCCTTACTCATTGCTTGTAACCAGAACATCTGAAGATCCTAGTCCTTCAGGGCCTCCAGTATACCATGATAACTGGTGCTTGATTTAAAATGCAATAGGACCACTTGGTGATGGCACCCTAAATGTGAAACTGTCAATATACGTTCAGCTGACATTAACCTTGTATTATATTGGTGCCAGATATAGCTTCTTTTATTTTCCATTATAAGTTAGTTTTTGCTTGCTTATGGTCTTTTTTCCTTCAATTTTGCTAATTGCTTTTATACTTTTAAATTATGGTATTTCAAAGTTTTGCTTCTGATGTGTGGGTATGTATACGTGTGTGTTTTAAAGTTACTTTTTTAAACCACTCTGAAAAGCTATTTACCTGTCAAATCAAGATCCATTGTTCTATGAAATTAAGGGACGAACCATCTAATTAAAGCCATTGGGAATAAGTCAATCTCCTCTTCTTTGTGTTAGCGCAAAAGTACTGGAAGACAAATATTATGTTCTCTTCAATAGGCTAGATACACCTAGTTCCCTCAACTGTTTGTCATACAATGTAGCGTCCGGACCCTGTATCATCTTTGCTGCCTTTCTCTGCACATTTTCCAGCATCTAAACATCGTGTATCATGAATGATGGGTTAATCATTCAATTAATCAATCAATAGAATGGGCAAAATCTAGCAAAACCCAGGAAACTTAAACTTTCAACAACCAATCAAGCAAAACGTGGGCTTTGAAACAGAGAAGGGGAAAGCCCATACTGCCCTTCTTCAGAGTCATGGAGGAGAGCATCTGGCCTCCAAAGAGTAAGAAATATGCCACAACTTGAAGCAGGCTTACAGAAGTAGAAGAAATTAAGCCGTCTACATTGTGGACTGATCTCAAATCTATCTGTTTTGTTTTACCTACAAGGCGCTGTTCCTCCATGCCTTTTTGCACCTGTGAATTACAACCTATAGAATGCAAGACATTTCATTTATTTACATTTCATTTATTTGTTACTGTATTATTTTTCCAAATAACTCAAGGAGGCGAACATATCCAACACATTTCCTCCTCTTTTCCACACACCAACAACCCTGTGAGGTGATCTGGGCTGAGAGAGAATGACTGGTCCAAAGTCATCCAGCTGGCTTTCATGACTAAGATGGGATTTGAACTCATGGTTTCCTGCTTTCTAGCCTTGACTAAACTAGCTCCTTTTTTCTTTTATCTCTCACAGTCATCAGTGTTCCAGTAGCTTCTTAGCCTTAACCTGAGTATCAAACAAGTGGTACTTCCTTCTGAAATTCTCTCTGTTTCATTCTCCTAGGGGAATTTAGCCTTTCATCCATCCTTGCCACCCAGTTTAACTATAAAAGGGAAGGAGAGGGAGAAAAAGGAGAATCCCCTGGCCTCTTCCTGAGAGACTGGCTTGAAGAGGAAATCTCTTTATGAAGAATGAATGGAGGCAGTGATCAGACAGACCCCTCCACAGACTAAAGAGGAAATCTTAGGGACTATTGAAAGTGAGCATCTGTGCCAGAGTGTAAGAACATGTTCCAATACAGACACACACATTTATTTATTTTTATTTATTTGTTTGTTTGTTTGTTTATCCCCTTTATTATTTTTATAACTAATTCAAGGTGAACAACGTATCTAATACTTCCTTTTCCCCCTGTTTGCCCCACAACAGAGAGAGCGAGAGAGAGAAAGAGAGAATGAATGAGAATCAATCCTGGTTTCTAGCGTGGTGCCTTCAAAAGGTGGTTTCTATTTTAGCTTAAGATGGAGGAAACGGAAAGAATCCTGCTGCAAGAGAAATGAGCTGATCAGGGAATCTAAAAGTGGCATCAGATTCAAACTGAGATCCCATACATACTTCTACTTAGAAGTAAATTTATCAAATGCATATCTAGGCACAAAGTAAACTAGCAAGAAATCTGACGAGCAGAGACTTCTGCAAAAATAGTACTGTTTTGGGATTCTAATATTCTTTTGACTCGTACATGTTATCCTAAAAAAATGTTTCGGCACCTTAAATCAAATGTTCACTTGCCAGATGTTCATTGAGCTGACCTTTGCAAAATTATACACAGCCATGTCTTAGCTTTCCCAAAGTAAACTGACAATTTGATCTAATCATTGTGAACCTTGTTCTAAACGAGGGATTAACTGTGACTTCAAAGGTCTCAGCTCATCTGAAAGTACAACTGCTTTTAAAAAGATCCATTGTGTTCTTTAGCAACAACCCAAGAAAGAACATGTAAATGGGAATAATGTAAACATAGGGCAATGTTTAATTCTAGTAAATGGAATCTACTATCAAAAATTTGATAAGAAAATAAACTCCAAAGTTTAGAATTCAAGTAATAGGGTTAAAATTGTTTTAAAAAGAGTTTTATAATTGCTTGAGATCCATTCCGATCCTGGGAAAATTAGTTAGGCCTTTATACAAAATCAAACATGCATAAATAAGATTAGGAGAAAAATTAGGCAATCCCTTTGTAACAGAGATATATCTGTTCTGTGGAAAAGCCAATTTCCCCAGACAGATTGCTGTCCTAGAATACATTGGTGGGCACTGATTGATTCATTTACCAAATCTGTATAGCCTTTTAGTGCAAGGTGTAAAAGAGTAACACATGATACTGTCTGAAATCAGTACAACAGGCATGACATATATGCTATTTCAATGACACCCCCCCCCCAATTTTAGCAATTATGCAGAATCCAATAAATATATGAGAATTACTTACTGTGTTGATTCCCATGCCATTAAGCATGTATATCACATCTTCTGTGGCTACATTTCCAGTGGCACCTTTCGCATAAGGGCAACCTCCTAAACCCGAAACAGAAGAATCCACAACATGAACTCCCATCTAGAAAACAATAAGGGTAATGATAGATATTCCATCGGAGAGATAGTCCTCAATTAAAAATGCTCACTAGTGCACTCTGCATACAAAAATGTTTAGCAGCATTTTCTGCAATCTATATTTGAGCATGCCTTCCTTCAATGATCCAGATGCCATTTTAGTCTTATGCTATCATACTTTAATCTTGATTGTGCATGGCTTATTTTAGATAAACATTCAACACAGATGCAACACAATTATGCCATTTCTAAAATACAGTCATAGCATCTGGAGACTGGGGCATCTGGAGCATCTGGGAACTCATCACTATTGTCAAATAGTCCTAATTTGATATAGGGCTATTTACAACTAGGAACTTAGTTCTAAAATGGATGTCTCTGAGATTACAATTAATTTCGTCCTCGAGTTCAAATATAACACAGCCAATGTTTTTATGAATGCTGTTCATGTTTGAATAATAATACATTATAAACTCATATAGACTCAAATCATTTTATATCTCATAGAGCAATCTTACATTAATATAACTCAAGGCATACAGCAGATGGATGCAAAAGGCAAAATACAAACTTTACAGAAGCCCCAAAATACTGAATTATTTAAAAAAAGCTACTTGTCAGACTTATATGCAGTGAGAAGCATTTTTCTGAAGCTAAAGTGGGCATGGAAAATAGTTTAGAAGTTCATATGATGAAGCATTAAAATAATATCTTGTATTCTTATTAAATGTAGATAGATTAATATAAATGCTAATCATAAAATCAGACAATTTAATAAAAAGGAGCACATGATGAAAACGTAGTAAGAAAGAACACATAAAACTGGAAAAGCAAACAATAAAAATATAATAACAGCAAGAGGAAAAGTTATTAAAATGAACAAAATTAAATTCTATATTATAGACCCGGTTCCACAATAAGTACCCAATTAAAAGTGACTTCAATTTGTCACAAAATAAACACTTTGAAGAATCCAGGTGACATTATCAGCTTCTACTTTTAAATCCATATTTCAACTGTGTTTTCCCAAGGTTTTCCCAGCTCTAAGGAGCTACTGTTTGAAATATATAACCCTAAAATATCTATCATTACACGTAATAAGTTGCACCAATCTATTGATACCAAGCTAACCATGAAACTTGATTGCTGTGTTTTGTAATACTTTCAGCATTCAATGATGTATATTATCAGCTAGACAAACTTTGGATCTGCAGCTTCAGAAGCTTATATTCTTTGCACAGTTTATTACCATTGTCACTGACCATTTCACCACTGACCATTAATTGTCTGGGTTTTTATCCCTTGGTTAGACTGAGATTCTTCCCTTCAGTCTATTTTCTGCAGGAAGAATTGAATATTTTATGCCTCCTTCTCAATTTTACCCTGACAGACAGTTCTGAAATGGAGCCATGTATTCCAGTGCACAATTTCCTTAATAAACCTTACTTATACTTTTGAACCATAAGCATCTGTCTAAAAGTACTCTCAGAGTATTGTCTCCAAAGATTCTACTCACACATGCCTGTTCCGCTAAATACAAATTCCCCAGAGTAAATAGAAGGATGCCCACAAGGGTTAAAATAAATTACCCATTCAGTCTGGAAATACAGACAGGCAATGCTGATATAGGCACATAAGTAACTAATGTATACAGGTGCTACCAACCCAGTGGATAGGATTTTGGCTAATCAGAGGCTTTAGATAAACAACTTTGAGCCCACTGGAATAAAAGCAGTAGCTAGTAGAATAAATACTTGCTTTAAATTGTGTTTTTATTTATACAATGAAAAACAAATTGTGTACTGAACAAGAGTTTTAATATTAAAAAGTTTAGTGTAAAAGATTTGACAGGAAGTTCATCAAAGTGCACTGGGACAAGTCGAGCATCTCTTCTTAAAGCACTGAAGCAGCTACATTCTCCAAAATGTTCAGGGCAACTATTTTGAAGAATTTTCCCCGTTATCTCTAGGTATAGTCACTTTTTTTTTGTATTGGTGGTGATTCCAGTGGATGGAATTTCTGTATGTACATATTAATATGCTGACAACCTGCCAGGGGACATAGTGGTGTTGATGGTTCAAGGAGTATTAAATCAACTTTGCAACTAATCCTACTGAATGCCCAGAGCTCATGAAGAAAAACTAGGTTTGATACAGCTTAAATGCAGGTATGAAAATGTGATTAACATTCTGAATCAAACACCACCCAACAAATTACTTCAGGGGACTGTCAGCTGGATCTTCCTTTTGATGCTTGCTTGCTATTGGCTGCCATAGTAACAGGGAGAGAGGGGCATGGCATTAGAGGTTAGGTAGTAACCTGGTGTGAAGAACGCCCATGTGAATAAAAAGGGAGGTTTTCTCTCACGAATTACTGCGCTGCTGAATGGAGTTGTTTAAATCCAGTCAAGTCCAACCGCCCTGGAACTCCAGGTGGATGAAAACACCTGAAGATGTGCCCTACATAACGCTATGTGGGATGAGGATTAGACACTCAGCCTGGGTCCCTGGGGGGAGGGATTTGTGGAAATTTCAATCTGTAACTTTCGCACCTTTTGGCTCAAATCTTGCTTTTCTTTAGCTGCTATCATTTCAAACTCAGTAAAAGTACCTCTTCTCTCCTTCAATGGAGTCGGGGGATTTCTTTCTTGGGTTTTGAATGGAGGCAGGCCTAACAGAGACTATATTTGCATCCTTTTTGTAATTTAGTGTTAATTTAATGCATGAAGGATGTACATGCAATTAAAAGTATAGTAATTACCGATACTTTTTAAAGTGAACAGTATTCTTTTGCTAAACACTTGGTGGCACTGTTGCCTAAAGCTGGGCTATTTTTTTCCCCTTGATAAATTCTGATAACAGAAAGATTATGTTTAAGGTTTTGATTTTGCTTATTTTTAAACTAAAAGTTAAAAAGGTGGCTTTTTTCCAAATTTTTTAAAATATCAAATTACAATATATGACATATTTTATCTACACAAACCTATCCTGAAGCAATTCAAGAATAATTTATGACAGGCTTAATAAATAAATCTTTTTAAAAATACATTATTACCAGATGAAATCTACCTTACTGATCTCATGGTAAGAGCAAAACTGGCAAAGTACCGTAGCTTTCTCATAATCCTGGCATTATTAATCTTTAGCTGGATCATGGAAACAGTTTTTAAAGGCCCAGCATTCTCAACCAAGATCCCAATATGGCACCTATACCCCCAGCTCATAACAGTAGATAACTCCCTTTCCTTAAAGCCTAAAATATATTTTCTCCTATAAAAGTGATGATATCTGTGTTCAAAAAAAAATCCTAAATAATGAATGCCTAGAGCAGAGGTATCAAACTCGATTTCATTGAGGGCTGCAACAGGGTTGTGGCTGACCTTTGGTGGCTGGGGGTGGGTGGCCATGGCTGGGGGTGGATGGCCATGGCTGGGGTGGAAATGGCCAGCTCGATGTCACTCATCGAGGCTTCATTTTCAGTTGCAACAGCCTCCTGCAGCTCTCTGCCAGCAAAAATGGAGCCTGGGGAGGCCTCGCGCAGCCTACTCAGGCTGTTTTCGGTCATGATGACCTCCTGCAGCCCTCTGCCAGTGGAAATGCGCCTCCTGCCTGAGCTCTATTTCTGCTGGCAAAGAGCTGCAAGAGGCTGTCGCAACCAAAAACGGCCCTCCTGAGTTCTGTTTTCTCTGGCAGAGGCACAGCAGGCCAGTTCTTCGCCATTTCCAGGGTGACCCCATGGGCCAGATCTAAGCAACCCGCGGGCCACATCCGGCCCGCAGGCCTTGAGTTTGACACCCCTGGCCTAGAGGGTGGCCAAGAGCTACAATTGTTAATATCTCATTACTTCCATCTTCTGGCCCTCTTAATTTTTGCAGCCAACATATGGTATCACAGACTAAAAACTGTGAATTCCAAGGTTACAATTTTAAGGCCAGTTTTTACTCTTTATTAGGTTTTTTTTAAAGGTCCTGACTCACATGCATTTGGGCAAGGTTCCTTTGAAACTCACAAATTTGCTGTATGTACTGAATCAAGCAGAGGTGATATTCAACAGGTTCTGACCATTTCTGGAGAACCAGTAGCAGAAATTTTGAGTAGCTCAGAGAAGCAGCAAATACCACCTCTGACTCTGGCCCCGCCCTCATCTACCCTCTGCCTCCCGAGTCCCAGCTGATCCAGTGGGTTTTCTTTTGTTGCCCTGTATAGGAGAATGGCGCTGGAAAGCAAAATTAGTGGGGTGGGGAGGGAATGAAGATTTTACAGTATCCTTCCCCAGGAGTGGGGAGGGAATGGAGATTTTACAGTTTCCTTCCCCTGCCATGCCCACCAAGTCATGCCATACTCACAGAACCGGTAGTAAAATAAAATTTGAATCCCACCACTGGAATCAAGGCTGTCCAACATTTGCTGACTAGGAAATTCTGGAAATTGATGCTCACAAGTCTTAAAGTTGCCAAGGTTGGCCACCCCTGTAGTAAATGTTCTTCTATTTCCTGGATTATTTTGTCTAATAATGAAGTCTTGACAGTAGAAAAACATTCTGGTGATGACTACTGATCATTCCATTTTGGACTATGTTTTTGATAATATAACCAATAGTTTAGCTTCAAAATATTCAATTAGTTCATAGGTTTGATCTTTTTCCTGCTTTATATAAGTGCATAGAACATACGGCTAAGAATATTTTATCTTTTCTGCCCCATGGTAATGTTCAAACTGTTATTTTGCACATTAGGACACAGTATCATTCATTCAGCAAATTGTGTAATTAATCTGCATGTACAATACGCCCTGCATACATTTGGGAAGAACGATACCTGTTATTGGTTTAGCAATTTTCTACTCATGAAAAAAAAAAAAGCTGATCTAGAAAAAAAAACTAAGCAGGGCAAAGTCTGATTGGTCTTTGGATGATGAACTACCACGAAATCCCCAGACCGTAGGCCGGGCTGAGGACTAAGTGAGAAAAGAAAAATAGGCATTGTTATCACTTCTGAACTGCTGT